GAGTATACCGCCATTGACGCGAACCGTTCGTAGTAAACACAGCGGCGCACGCGCACCCAGGGCTGGCGAAAGTAGCGGCAAACTTGCGATGGAATAAAGTGACTCTAATTATATAGATTAATGAACTTTGGTTATGGTTGTGTGCTCCCTAATACCACGGTAGTTTGATAATGGATAGGTTGTAAAAATTCTTATGAGACTATTATAAAGCACTAAACTACCTTTACGTTTACAAAAAAGGTTACAAAAATATTTATTTAGCGTCCAAAACGGCAGTCTTTCAGACCCTAGTTCACTGTTACTTAGAAAACCTAATGCATATATCTGATCTTCTACTATAAATAAATCAATATCTCTATCTTTATAAAAACTATTGTGAATTTGTCACCGTGGGCAGGCAGCCCTGCAAGTAACGGCACGAACAGAAGTGTGCCGCCAGTTGTCACTAACGGTGCCGGCAGAGCTCTCCTCTGCCCGGCAAGACCAACCTGTACCCACATGTACTACCAACAGCAAGTCAAGATACTCCACTCAATTCTGTCCAAGTTCCAAGATTTCAGCTTTATTGCTTCGTGGTAAGATCTCTTTTGTAAACCTACATGTAGCTTCAACTAACAGCAACATTGACTTGCAATGAGTAAAGATATTAAATCTTAGTACCTACATATAGACACCTATATTTGGTAGTAAAAGATTTGCTTCAAAGAAACTCAATAGTAAAACATTTTCGTCTATTAATTATTGTATTGTAGTGAGTAATTCACTAAAGAGTGAAACTTTTAGCTTTAGCTCGTCCCTTAAGTGTATAATATGTTTCCATTTGAAGAACAAGCAAGAAATTCCATGGTCATCTACTACCATGAAGTCATGGAAATTAAAAAATATTGTAATTGACACAGACAAGCTTACATTATGTGTTACACAATTGTTAGTTATCGCACGACAATCGTAAATGTCGGTTTCCTATGATCGTGCAATACTTATACATCTTGGGGTCAGGACTACTATGTATCTTTCGAAATACTTAGCACATGGTATACGTTATCCTGGAATGACATACCTGAATGTAAATAATAGCACTGCCTCCATATTGAGATATTAGACATATAGGGAACAACTGCACCAAGTATCGGATTATATTTTTTGGGGGGTGGCTTTATAAAAACTAATACTACGACATTACACCCACATCCAGAACAGTAATGTATTTATTAACTAGCTACCTCCGCGCTGTTACACTCTCTGGTCAGCTCCTTTTACTCGTAGCGTGATGTTTTATAGCTTATTATCATCCTCGATAAATGCGCTATCCAACACGAATAGAATTATTCAAATCAGACTTGTAGTTTCGGAGATTAGCGCGTTCAAACAAACAAACAAAAAAGCAAACTCTTCTGCTTTATATAATAGTATAAGATACAAGATTCACTCATAACATATAAATATCCTTAAAAGCTAGACCCAATGCCATATTCTAGTATATTTAAACTACATAAACAACAAACACCTATTTATACAATTATATAATTACTTCTACTGGTTTACTATGTATAGCAAATCCCGTGCATAATTCGTAAAATAATACTTATTGCGTGCGAAAATCGCACCTGTGATACATTTTTTATTACGAGGAAAGAACACACGCACTCGCAGTGCGCACATCCACCTCACCCGCGCTTGCGCATCACAACCTTTGCCCCGTAATCAGACGACGACACAGTGCAAATTAAGCGACAATCGTCTTTAACCTTTATAACTCACGTCCGTGACAAACGCTGGCTCTGTCGAAAGTGCAAATGTTTCAACAGGCACATTTGTCAAACTGTCCCTTTCTGTGGACAATTTAAAGCACATTACCCCGAATACACTCGTGTTCGTCTCATCGCATTGTTGTTTGTTACCACGTGGACGTCTTCAGCTTTCGATTTCTAAAGTAATTCTGAGGCAGGAAATAAAAACCTAACAAATAAGATGGCCGAATGACGGCGATTGCTATTGCCGGGTCAAGGACCTAAGTAGTAGAGAGGTTGAATGGAACTACTGTATGACTTTTAAAGTAGGTATGTTTGATAAATCTAAGCTATCATTATAATATCTGTTTATAAGTAGCAGCCATTTTTTTTTAAACGTTGCCCCACACTAGCATTATCACCTGTGTCGTGGGTGCGTTTTACAAACATACAAGTTCACATACACATGACACCCAGACCCGAAACAACAATTTGTGGATCACACAAAGTGTTATTCCGTGCGGGAATCGAACTCGCGACACGTTGCACGGCAGCCAGTTGCCCAGCCACCGCACCAACCGTGCAGTCATTTACTTTATAGTCCTAATCTGAGCATTAACATTAGTACCTGCATAAACAAAAATTAAACAAAAATAAATTCCTAAAATGGTTAAGTTCGTCCGCGCTCTAAGTGCGACCGCAAAAGCCGTGGAGTTGATTGCAAAGTGTAGCCCATTTCTTATTACTTATTACTAATGCGAAATAAATTGGACTGACACCCTATTTGATTTTTTTATCAATTTTTTATTTGGTAAGTCTATAATGTTTTATTGTTTTGCTAGATAATGCTAAGCTGCAGTTTTAAAGTACCTTATACATGCACTTGTGTTCTATTGTGTAGTTTCATTGCTTCTCAATTTTTATTTCTGAATAATTTATTGTTACTACAAGTCTACAAAAACATTACTTGTTCATTATTACAAACATATCTATTGTTTACTAAAATCGCGGGTTACTCGCGTGAATACACTGAGAAAAGCTCTACGAGTTTCGAACCACAGAGGGGTTCTTCCTCATGAGCAGCGGTCGCGGCGACGACGTTGCGCAGCTCACTTCAGAAACTAGTAGAGCTTATCTCAGTATATTCACGTGAGTAACCCGCGATTTTAGTTAATTTAGTATATATCACAATAGTTATTATACCTCTAAAAATATCTATTGTTTTTGCACAGATCTAATATGAAACAGCCAAATTATAAACTAACAGTAAAGTGTAATTGTAAAATAAACCTTAGGTTATTGTGTTAATACGAATAAATAAAATATATTGTGTAATGTTCAAAGTGTATGTGGTTGGTGTGTAAGTTTTTCGTAGCGTTCCGGTCGGTTGCGCACTTTCCATCTCGACGGTTCGGGACTTATGCTGGTGCCCCAGTGCCATACATTGGCCAAAATCGAACGAATTAAAACATTAAATTGAGAATTTAAAATTATTTTTGCTTTTAGAATAGGGTAGATGCCTAATTTTCATTTTAATGTCCGTCTGGTAGATTATTTTGAATCATTAGACACGTACATTTTAATTTTCTTGCAGAAAGGATAGTGTACATCGTCGATGTGTTGATTTGAAATATCACGTGACGTCACTCCTATGTACATTTTATACGTAGAAATGACGTTTTAGCCCCCACTCCTAAACTTTGATTCGTTTTTTCTAAGCATTGTTTTATTATACGACAAAATAAAAAAATATGTGTCTAATATTTTTTCATTACCTAACTTACAGACTAATTACATTTTTAATTTTCATACCATGTTGTATGATTTAGGTACATCTACGTGTTTCTAATGTAATCGTGTAGTTGATTGATAGATACAAGTAGAGCTGCCAAGAACTTAAGTGGCTATGGTTACCAAGTCGAGCAACAAAGAGAATTTTATTTGAGAAAAACCTGATTAGGTGTACCTATGGTAATAATAGAATATTACAGGAGACTTCAAAGTAACAAAAAATGTTACTTAAGAGCAATAAATAATACTTTCTTCTTAGAAAATAAATGTTGAAGCTGGAACCGTCCGCCAACATCATTCAAAAACAAGACCGTATTCTAATAAAGAAATCCCAATAAAAACTTAATACAGAAATAATATAATATCGTTCAGCAAAGTACCGTTGCGACGCGAGTCGTTGCTTAGCAATTATCGACAGTTATCGACGTCGACAGCGCATCACTAGCTCGAGTCTCGAGACATGTTAATTTAATCCGCACAGCCCTAGTTCCGTTATTTGTCACTGACACCGAGTGACGCGGTCAAGCGAATGACGAACTACGTCATTGATAGCTACTGTGTTTTTCACTCACCAGGTGACGCTGAGGTCTTATCTGTCCAATCACTGTAGCTGTCTATTCAATGTCCAATCGACAACTTCTCTATCGGACAGATAAGCTATAAAATAATTTTCCATAACTGCAAAGTTAAATGCTTTCTTTAACCGAAGCTTAAGAGGTGAACATTGATCATTTGACGCTACAGAACTTGGTCCCAATATTATTTATATTAAAAACTTCACTACTTACAGAATATGAGCTAAGTATTTATTCACTTCGTATATATACTTCGTATGTACGCTCGTACCTACTTTTTATAAAAAAAAGACACGGAACTGTATTATATTCACAAAACTGCTATCTTAGTTTTCTTTATAATTATTACCTACTTCTAATACCGCTTTTAGAAAAAATACTCATAAGACTAGGTAGGTTTACTGTAGGCCCAAAGAATTCCGGTTCCATAACTGCTCGAGTGTTATGACGCCTTACATATTTTCAAATACCGCACTATGAATAAAATGATTACCGTTTCTAACGTAAATGTAAAATTATATTCATTCTAATAAGATTATTTATTCAAGAACTACCAGAATAAGATGATTTTTGCTTTCTTTTCCATTCACAAATATGTTATACAAATAGCTCTAAAATAAAATTTGCCGTATACCTATGATTTAATCTATGCTATGTTATATCTAGCTAAGCTATATATATAGCTAAGTATTCCCAAAATTGTAAAATAAACATAAACATAATTAATAAACCCAAATTAACAAGTGAAACAAGTGAATTTATTTCTGCAAATAGGCTACAAGGCAGCACCTTTTACACGTCAATTTTTATCAAGCGAACGATGAGGTCGAACTTACAATACCACCATCGCCTTTCAGAGTATAAAATTCATACGATTCTAATAATATTTTTTTCTCTTTTACAGTCTTAAACGTGGCTGCAGGCAAGGCTCCGATGCAGGCTTCGACAGAAGACGGCGGGGTTCCTCAGCGAGCTCTGGACGGGAGCACAGCTGCCTCCTTCAACGCTGAGACCTGCACCCTCACGAAGGCTGAGCGAGTACCGTGGTGGTACGTCAACCTCCTGGAACCCTACATGGTGCAGCTCGTCAGGCTGGACTTCGGGAAACAGTGCTGTGGTAAGATGTATTGATATATCATTTGGTACTTAGCCCACTACTAAGTATAAAGTCTACTATTAGTTTCTGATGAAATCGTCCATTTCAATTTAGCTTTTTTGCCGAAATTAGTATGTACTTCTCATTTAAAATGAAATGTTTAGTATTTCTTAAGCGCTCTAAAATAAATAATTAAGAAACTTTTGTGTTGCTGATGATTTATAACAAGGACAAAACTGGGGAAGAAAAGTTATGAAACTCCGAATTACCCGAAATAAGCGTCAACCAAAACTGGCAAGTATTATAAATGCTATCAGTACACAGACTAAACAACACAACAACTCCACTATGTTAGTTGGTGCACTATCTACAAATCTACATACATCATGAATATTACAATGAACTTTCCTTCTCAGATAGTTGTGCATTTCTCGACGACAAACATGTTCGCACTCCCAACGAGATGCGCTGACGCTGGCAGCTGGCACACTTACTTTGTACGCGAGGTGCTAAACGAACTTAATCAACCACATATTCAGGCAAAGTGTTAAACGAACTTAATCAACTACCTGTTCGTCTATATTTTACCAGTTGTTGACATTTGAGGTCTTAATATTTCGCTTCTCAGTTACGGTAATGTGTATCTATTTATCAGAATTCAAGACAATAATTTTCTGTTAACACAAGAAACGTCTAAATAGTCCCCTGTATGTTAGGGCTATGGCTTTTAAAATTAACATCGTATAAAAAACCGTCCAGTATTTATTGAGTTTTTCACCTATAAAGAGACGCTACAAAGTCATGCGTCCGAACAACGAAGCTCAATGCATTCAATCGAAAATCTAAATTCACGGAAACACAAGATTCCTATGAAGTTAACGACAAATCACGGACAAGTAATGAATAGTTGCAAGACAATGTACTTCCGACTTCTCACGGAACTTCGGTGCAATCAAAAGGACATTAAGAATAATATTATCGTGTTATTGTGGGCTGCTGGTAACCTTGCGATTATCTTTAACCGGAGATTCGTGTTACGAAAGCTAATCCTCTTATCTTTTAATACCTTTTTTTATTTTTTTGCCTTTGCTGTTCGCAGTGAACAGACTTGCGCATTGACAGTACGCAAAAAGTGTGACCTCCTTTGATATTAATTGCTATATTATCATATTTTTTACAAATATGGAAACATAAACGTAATAAACAAGTTAAAAAATTGATAATGCCCCCCGTAATATCCGTGACTGTACCTCGCAAGTGAAAAGCCCTACTACCTATGATATAGTAGTGGTATCCACGTCAGAACTCCAAAAATGGATGTCAACCATCGAGAAGCAGTTGAACGAACTTGCATTATTGCCTCAGAAGGCATACTCAACTCCGAGCAGAAATTAAAAATAACTAACCTGAGCCTCAAAATAGGATCGGGTGTATCGCAAATAGCAGTCTTGTGTCAGTCTTTGCCAAACAATCCATCGATAGAGTTAGCGATCTTAGAGAAAAACGGGACCTAGCGAAAGAAAGTATGGAATTAAAAAAAGCTACCAACGACTCTGCAGCAACTAAGAACGCTTCTTTTGCCGATATGGTGAAGAAAGGGCCTAATGATTTCGTGCAACCCCAAAAACTAAACTTGATTGCAAGTAACAGTGAGTAAATTAGTAAAAGCTGCGATGAAATCAGATCTTAGGTACGACACATCATACGCCTTGACCAAATGAAGCTACATAGGAGTGGAATCCTAAAAACTCAAAATAGGTGCACAGACTACAAACAGGATACTGAGAAGGTCCATTATTTGTCATCTGGTCTTGTCATCAGTGAGCTCAAAAGGCCAGTTACAAATCACAGCGGCAAGCGTCCTAACTCTCTCCTGACACTGACGGATCGAAGTACATACAAGAGCAAAACATTCCTGAGAAGTTCCCAGAGATTTTCATGGAGTCCTTTTTAACAGTAATTAAACTGAGCCATAAATCTGGAAAGAAGGATGCACCAACCTGTAACTTCATCTTAGAAGTCACACTCACAGCCAACATCTCTAAAGCCCTCTTAGCTCAGGAACGAATTTATATAAATTGGAATTCTAGCCCAGTAAGAGATTTTAAAGTATAGTAAGATGACAACTGCCACAGTATCGACACGTAGCTAAATTATGTAGAGACCTCTCATCCTATGGACACTATGGAGAAATTGGCCAAAAACGAGATACCCATAATTGCGCATCATGCTCTCAGTTTACTTTGCCCAACAACCATAGGACGCTGAGTGTCCGGCCAAGAAGATACCTCAGCACAAGTTTATCAACTCGATTGTTTATAACGACATTTCTTATAGGCTGGATTAATCATCACTTTGTTCCTATCCAGCATTTGTGCTTATCCAAGCACCTGGACATGGACACCTGTAGCACCAAAAGTCTTACTTGCGGTTAGCCTAATTTCGAGCTTCTCCAAAAAAATATTCTGTCCAAATCTAGGGGTAAAAAAAAATTCGTTAACGCTACTTTTCGCAGTGTGCTTGCTATAATTCTGTTATTCACATTCAATCATACTTCAAATAGTAGAATTTACAAAATAACTGTAGCAATCTTGTTTGTTACGTTGACCGGCAGCAGATAATCAAATAGGAAATCGAACCAAAACACCTGGCCTAAAGAGAGGTGTCATTTTTTCAATTACATGCAATTTTCCGTTCTATCCGTTTTTGATAGGCCGGAATTACGTGACGCTTTCTAGAAATCAGTTAATTCCCCGTCATTACAATGTTATACAACAATTTGTTGACCAAGATGTCGGAATATGTATTTATGGTCGTTTCAAAAACACACATGGATAATTACTTGGCCCTTTGTGTACATTGTGTAAATGGATAGGTCATGAACTAAGTTTCCATCTGTTGTTCTCATGGCATGGTGAAAGGGAGTTTATATATATATAGTAATATAGAGAGAAATTGAAGATCTGGTAAAGAGCACCGGTCGTTGATACAATGGAGCAATAAGTGACACAACGTAATTAGATTAAATATAGAAGGTATTAAGTTTATGCTACGTTCTATTTTAAGACAAAAAAAATAACTATACATGTAGTGTATCACCATGTCCAACACACGTTTATAACTTCTAGCTTCCTTTACGAAATAAAACTGCAGAACAATCTTAAAGTGCCACTTATCAAATGATAATTCGCAATATCTTAGCTTGGCAACTTTCCTACAATTTAGTAAGATAACTTTCACCTGAGACTAGTTATTTGCGCCCGGCGGTGCCTGTCGACTCGTTGTCAATACGTAGGTTCATAATGATAGAGTTAAGGGTCGTCTTACATTAAATGATTGTTGGAAAGCGTCGACCGCAGACCGCACTGGCTTCTATACAAACTTGTCACTACATTGTCGCAAAATGAAATGTTGTTAATCAAAGATGATTTAAAGTTTATGATTAAGATTAAAAACCCATGATAAGTTTTGGATAATTTGCAACCAGGCCAGGGTGTCAATAGGTGGAACTCAGCAGTAATACGAACGTAGATCTAAAAATACTCATACGATAGGCATAGATTGAGAGCAATTCAAAGATCTAAAGCAGATCAACCCAAAAATCGTTTTTGCAGCCAAATCTGATGAAGGGTCATTGTCGAGCTATAGAGTACTGACCCAAAATTTTGCAACACAGTTCCAATTTTCAAATGTTTCTACTTTAGAACTATTTTATTATTGCGTCTATTTGAGATGCACGCCAGCGACTCGCACGCTGCATGTTTGTTGTGTCAACATTTCACAACTGGGTGCACCACAGTAGCTCTTTAGAATTGTTAATTGTGTTCTTGAGATGAAGATTACACATTAGAAGTAAAAGGCTTATTCCACTAGATTTTAGTGCCGCATTTCGCCTGGGAATTTTACTTAAGTGATATCTAGTCTAGAATTATACAATACAATGGGTGGTTTTTTAGACATACTGAATGGTTACAGGTGCCAACAAGCCAGTGATCGTTGTCCGAGTGGGCAACAACAGGCCCGACCTCGGCACCAATCCGATCTGCAACCGCTTCACTGGGTTCATAGAAGAAGGCCAGCCCCTCTTCCTGCCCTGCAACCCTCCGATGCCCGGAGCATTCGTCAGTGTGCACTTAGAAGCGTCCACACCATCCCAGCTTTCCATTTGCGAAGCCTTCGTGTACACCGACCAGGCGCTGCCAATCGAGAGATGTCCCCAATTTAGGGACCAACCACCCGGCAGTACGGCGACGTACAATGGAAAGTGCTACATATTCTACGACCGGCAGCCTGCGTCGTTTAGGGACGCACTAGGATTCTGCCGATCCAGGGGTGGTACCCTGGTGGATGAGAGCAACCCTGCCCTGCAAGGATTCATCAGCTGGGAGCTGTGGCGCCGACACCGGTGAGTCTGCTTAGTATTACTCGTACCAGTGGCTCTGCGACTTTGTTTTATGTTAATATATTGCTCACTAAGCATAAGCTTTTTCTTTACAGCTTACCTCATACTAATTGAATGAATTTTTAACGTACGGTTATTAATACATGTTCGAAGCTCGCTTCAACCTTGACACGCTAATAGACAAGTTTATAAAAAATCAGGTAGAAGAAAGTGGGCAAGGAGTAGCTGATAGTGGGCAGTCCAGTGCCACTACAAAACATTCTCTAAGTCGTGTAACGGTCTCCAAACGAGTATATTAAGACAACGGGCTGGATCCCGTACGCGCCGCGCGCCGGCTACGATCCGATACGGTTTTTATGTCGAACGTTACACGCCGGTACGGTTTACGTAGATCATTCTAAAATAACGGAGAAAGGTTTGTGGTGTTATAGCATGAGTTCCAACAGTCCTCACAGTTATTGTCATCTGCGGCTTCCAGCTGACCCACTAGCAGTAGTAGTAGGATTCGTGTATGAGCCAACTGCGACCAGTTATCGAAAGACATACCGCATTTAAATTTTTAAGACCTATCTGCCGATTAATGATCTGTGCAAATTCTCCCGTAAATTCAAAAGATTTAAAAGATTTATTCAGCTTACAACTGACACCAGTCCTTCCATTAATTATTGTATTTCGTACTCGTAACATACCTACACAACATTATCAACAGTGGATCGATAGCCGACGCCGAGTTGCGGTATTAAGGCTTGTTGCTAAAAATATCGTGTCTCGTGGGTGTCCGTAACTATAGCAACGACATCTATTCACTATTTTTCTAGTTACTGGCACTAAGCTCTGAAGACGTCTCGTCGGCCACCCACGCATTGTAAACATCAAAGGGTATCAAAATAAATTATTTTTGCTTGTAAGTCCTTTAAAAAGATGGTCTACAGGTTTCTTTGGAAAGATAAACACAATAGGATCTACATCAATTCAATGATGTATATAGGTACACATGTTTTTTAGAAAAAAATAATATTAGACAAATATTATTTTGACGAATAACACTGCCAATTCAGTGGTCAGTGACCCACGCTAAATAAATATACCTCTAGTTACTTGGGATGTTCAATATCAATGAATTCTCCGTCACGAGCTGATGCAAAATGAACCTTCAGATCAAGTGGCAAGTTTTGATTCAGCGTGAAGGACTAATGGGGAATATTTTGTATTAAGATAGATAACAATAAGAGTATAGGTTTTTCGAACTATTACTATAGGATACGGTTTTTAGAAAGTAGGTAGATGTGATTTTCTTTAAAGTGAAATGAAAGAGCATCTTATTAGTGCAATTTTACAATTTTATTATTAGTCCGAGTAAAACTATGAATGAAAAATATTAACTGCCTCGTTGCTTGGCCGAGTGGTCACACGTGCGACTGCTGGGTAAGGGGTCTCGGGTTCGATTCCCGGGTCGGGTAAAGTAATACTGGGTTTTTAGAAAATTCTCAGTAGTAACACGAGTCTGGAATTGTGCCCGGTATATGGCAATAGGCTCACCCCCTATTACATGGGACTCATAACATAAAATAATGAAAAGTGGGTGTTACATTGTACAATGTACAGTGGTGCCGTAACGTGCACCTCTGCCTACCCCTTCGAGGATAAAAGGCGTGATGTTATGTTACAAAAAGTTTGAGTGAAAGAAAAACTTGGAAAAACACTTGGGAAAACCGGGGAATAGGTAACATCAATGCGTACACGTAACCGCGCCGCTAGAACTAACCGAGACAGCTCTGTAGAGGTATAGGATGTTATTATGAGATGATAAAACCTATATATTTGCAGTAAAGTCAAAGTCAAAGTCAAAGCATTTATTTCAATTAAACCGTAATTTGGTACTTTTGGAACATCAACAAATACAAAATAAATAATAGTCTGTCAGTCAGTCTGTCAGTGAAGCTAGGTGCTAGTAATGACATGTGTATATTTACACAACAGTACTTCTTAAGAGTAAGACCATCTTTTTCGCGGGATACCTAGAAGCTTCCTTAAGGCTAGTCACACACGAGTGCTATCAAAGTACCAAGTAATATGAAATGCATAACGCTTTGTAGGAACTGTGTGGCGTCGGCTGAACCGCAGCGATTATAGGGCGCGTGCTCACTCACTGTGCAGTAACGGTGTATGTCTGTGTTTACTAGCCGTATGTCTGTACTGGCATTACGTAAACATTGCGCTTTTATTAACTAATGAGGTTGGCAGATTTTAATTGTCGGTTAAACTAATATCATTCAACTGTGTTTTGTCGACTGCTAGCATGCGTGGGAGATCCCTTGCACAGACAAGGTATCTCGTTTTTTACGTCGAACAAACAAAGAAGGGTTGAGATGAAGGATTTTTTTCGGTATAATCTGTGTATTGGAACATGGAGTCTAGATTGGGCCTTATTATTAGAAGAGCCCTAATAAAAGAGACTTATTGTCATAGCAATAACTCGACGTTACATTTCATAATGTGTAAATTCCGCCTATAGTAGATAAATAAAAACTCTTGATGTTATACTGTTCTAGATATATATTTTGCCCTCTTTAGGCTGATTTTAGTCTCACGCTTACGGTCAGCGCTCATAGCTCAGCGTGTAGCAACAACAAAAATGCTAGTAGAAGATACGATACAAAATCGATCTTTACCAAGCTGTCGCTTCGCGTGCCGTCGGCGTAAGATTACAATCAGCCTAACATTGGAAATAACTACCCTAGATGTTCTCAATTATTTTTATTTCTCAATGAATAAATCTGAATCTATAAAAAATCAGATTAGTATAATAATAATAAAATCTTTTTCATCAACTCGTTTTCATCCACAGCTGGGATAGCTTCCTCCCTCCCGACATGTGCTAATTAGTAGCCATAAAACCACTAGACTTAATGTTTTTAATAATACTTCATGACGAATTTCCGCTACGAGTGAAACAAAAAGTTTTTTGTTCTAGAGAGAAACCTTTCAAGCGCCATCTATCGAGCGGTAGATTAACTATACAATTTTTAATTACTTAACCATAATCGAGCTACATTGTAATTATAAAAACGTCTTAAATACGCTATTTATATTAATAAAAGAATAAAACTGACTTCTAAAACCGTACTGAAGTAAAACAATGGACTCTATTACTTTAATAGCGCCATCTATTAGTGGGTAGTGCGAACTACATTTTCATTGAAATGTTATTAAATACAATAGAAATTAGCAATATTCATTTAATGATAAATCAGACTTATTGTGTAGTATGAAAATTAGATTTCTTAACTAACTCTTAATTTGTTTTACTACATTTATACCTATGCATCTACACAAGTGCAATTCATATGAATAACAACAAAAAGTCTACACACACAATGAAAAACTAACAGCAATAAAATCGTGATTACTTATTGATCGTTAATTTATAAAATTAATTTCAAATTCGCAAACATCTCGATTGTTTTAAAGGTAAACACAGACAGTTCTGTCAGCGTAAGTAAAAAGTTAATTGAATCCTGATTTCTAAAGTATATTAAATATATTATGTACTAAACTTTAAAGGACCTATGTACCATGTACCTGAACCCTTGTGTCTAGCTCTCAAAGGGAGACTGCACTGATTGGAATCCAATATCGATGGATGGTGTTATACAATAAGCCAGTAAAATATTGTTTGTTCTGAATTAATATTCTTTTGTGAAAAAATGTGAGATATAATAATAACATAACATCGCGCCTTTTATTCCCAAAAGGGTAGGCAGAGCTGCACATTATGGCACTTTATGCCACTGTACAATGTAACACCCACTTTGCATAATTTATGTTATGAATCCCATGTAATAAGGGGTGTACATACCTATTGATTAAATTTTTACTAAAAATCTTAGGTGTCTGCCACTGGAAGACTTCCCGCGCTCGCGTTTTTATATAGAACAGGGCTGATTAAGACCGTGTATTTAAACATAAAAGTATTTTTCATAAAAAAACCAATTCAGTATTATCGAAAAATCATTTGATCGTATTAACCTAACATCATTATACTTAGCAATGATCAGAAAACTATTTTCATTTTCCTGGCTGTTTGTTTACCCTGAAGTGCATAAAACCGTCCAGGCGACTAGTACATACGTACAGTGTAATGCTTCCATTTCAATTATCCATTGCCTGGGGGACGCTGTTTGCTATCTCCCCTCGTCTGGTTTTGAATACTGGATAATTGCATCCTGTGTACCCCCTTCTGCACCCAACCCCACAAACCCCTCGTTACCCCTATTGCCCCACTGTTACCCCACGTCTGCGCACACTTTCAATCAAATCAGTGTGCGTTATGGCTGTTGATATTATTAACTGTAATGCAGAGTTTAAAAACCTTTGGATGTATATAATATATGATAGAACTTTAAAATAAAAGTTATATAGTTCAAATATTAATTTGATTATTTCCAACAAATATCGATACTTATTATTGATTTGATTATTGAAACTTGATTTAAACATATAATATAATATTTTAATTAAAAATATACATATATTACCCAATTAATAGCACAAAATCGAAATCCTTCATTGTGAAATAACTCCGACAGTCGTAGTTACTCTAACCTTTGCGTCAGATATTTAACTTTGCGAAAGATAATAATCTTTGAACCTATAAATGGCTTCACATCGATAATTTGGTAATACTATATTGGCAAGGCAGACCGCCACGAATTCTCGAAAAAATGTGACTCCCGCACCATCATCCCACGTGTGAGACGAGATACCGTGTGGGTTTTTGTCAGTAAGAATCTGACAGTCCCTTTCGTCCTTTCCATGCGTGGGGGCTCTGTGAGAATTTCCCTTGGGGTCATAACAAGGGTATGTGTAAGTCCCAAGCAGGTAGGTATGTTCCGTCGTCACTAGATTGTAGTTTTCTTACCGCTAGCCGAGAATGAGATGGCCATTTCCACCAACCACCCCTAAACCATCTTTTACTTACCGCAAACTAACCCCTAAACTACTAACCCCTAACCTAATCCCTTATCGTTCTTGAGTTCCTAAAAATTGAATATCGGTTAATAAAAACGGGCAACCTATCCTAATGATAAATATATTGTTTCAAATGTTCAAATTAACGTATTTTACGTATTTATGTAGGCCCGGGCTAACCTTACTTACGTCTGTCTCCTTGACAACCAACATAAAAGAAACAAATCAACAAGAACATTCGTGAAAATAACTCCAGTTGAAAAGAAACCAATAAGCTAGGTACAGAAATATATTAAAAAATAATTTCTTTGATGTATACTTGGAATTCTGATTACTTAGCTAGCACGCCCACGTGATACCCACATTCGAAACATTAAAAAACTCATTTTTCTGAAATAAATATATTTAAGAAAATTGTTTGTAGCCTCTGATAGAACATTCTAGAACATTTGTCCCCCCAGACACCCTCTACACCCACCTGGTCCCCCCAGTGGGAGGATTAACATTCGAGAATGTTCTATAGGGGGGTGAGGGGTGAAAATTTAATAACGTAAACTCCAAGAGCTTACACTTTTAGATCTTTGTTATTTAAAAAATGATTTATTATGGTCTGGCTTGTTTGTCAAATGGTTGCAGGCATGACTACCATTGTACGATTCGTGCACTTGTAGTTGACGTTGAAGTGTAGAGAAAAGATTACTCAGATAATGTGACTATAAAGTTTATTGCACCCAAGTTTAGTACAGTATCGCAAAGCTGACAATTCCTTTCTCATTAGTTGTTTAATTCGTTATTTTATTAGTAAAAACGTACTGCCCGATAATTACTGGAATTATGATTAAGTATATACCTAAGCAATCGCGCGAATGTGTCGATCTTAATGTTAGCAAAATATATATGTACCTACCACTGAAGACTGCATAACCATATAAAGGGTATTTATAGGTTTGGTTCTCGGATCAAGTAGAAATTGAATATTTTCGAATTTTCTGGTGATACTATTTGTACGCCGTGATTGCACGTTTTTTCTTTGAGGGTAGCACCGACTCGGAATCAGCGACTTGTAGAGGATAATAGATTCGGCCACCTGTTCCAGGATAGAGTCAACATGAGTAGTAGAAATTTTTATAGTGCATTACAAGTTCTAGCGTTTGCTTCTCCTCTATCCATGGCCCAGAGACGCGTCGACTTCAGTGTTCCGGTGTTTTCATTACTTCTAATACCTATTTAATATACGAGGACAATCCTTACCCGATTTAAAAACTACCAATGGAATTATTATGATAATAAAAAATATGCATAACGGGCTCTTGTACTATAATGTCCATTATAACGCACACCGGTGCAGTGCGGGTGCACTGCGCGTCCCCCCAACCACCCAGTTAGTGCTTGTTCACGTTGAACTCGTGGGCGCGGTAGCGAATGCGGGCGTGGTTGACGTCACGAGATTGTGTTCACATTAACTTAAATATGCATTAACGATAAGTTTAAATAGGTTGAACTTACTGATGGCGTGAGTAAATCGCGCGCTCTGTCGCTAGTTCGTCTAGAGTGTATTCAAGAAGAGAGAGAGTGTATTCTTGAGTACACTCTAGACGAACTAGCGACAGAATAAACGTCTTTAGGCGTTTGATACTACAGTCCTTACGCGCCAATGGCTAAATTGGGAACTATGAGTGAAGAGCCCGCTACTTACACTGTACCTGCATTTTTCAGGTACGTGAACACTTGGATGTCGCATCATAATTACGTTTGACTAGCTGTTGCCCGCGACTTTGTCCGAGTTGAATACGAATTTTAGAACATAACTTTTTTTTCAATTTTCCAAAATAAAGGTTGCCTATGTACTGCTTAGTACGTCAGCTACCTGTCTATAAAAGTCTTGCGAAATCGGTCCAGCCATTTTAGAGATAAGCCATTACAGATAGATAGACAGGCAGACAACAATTATAAAAATGTTATTTCGGTAAGTGTCGTATTCATATGCATATTAAAAACGGTAATGGTCGCGAAATATGTCTGCTTGTTATTACAAACAAAAACGCCCGTGAATCAATGTGAACAAGCACTAAGGAGGCTGTCCCCCCTTCAGCGTTTGTTGTGGTTACCAACTCATTTACCTATAGTCCTTATTATAGCCTGTATGAATGAACTGTATTGATAAGTCATTCAGAATATTTATAATAATTGTCTTCTTCTCAGAGGTTCATACACATTCCTGACGAAATAGTCGTGGTTATAGATCATCTATTATATTGGTTGAGGTGAGGCTTTAGCGATGTGCGTCTATTTCTGTCTACTCAAGTCCCTGCGTGACTGAAAATATTTAGGTTTAAACTCTGTAAATCCAGCTTAATTCTGTTGAATAGCATTCTGAACAAACCACATTCTGGTTTATGCAGTTCTATCATAGCTTATGCTCGATGGTGGACTTTCCATGAGGATAAATCTTCATCTATATACAAACAGATAAATTATCCTAAACGATTAGAAATATCACTGACTCCACAATGACAAATAACGAGGTACTAAATTTCTAACTAGGTATTATTTAGTCTTATCCTTCATATGATAGCGTATCTATAAATATAGCGGGCCGGTGCACTACGGGCGCATTCCTCATCCCATAACCACCCGAACAGGGGTTTGAGCCGTCAGTGCCGTATTAACCACAGTAGCATTTTGCTATGGGCCCCGTGCAAAGGGGCCCCATATTTTTATTTTATTTATACGAATAGAACGGTACAAAAAACCAATTACGCTACTCAATAAAATATAATTGAAAGAAAGAATATATTTAATCACTTAATCACATAACCAAATGCATTTCCACCTCAGTGTTCTTTTTACCTTAGTGTCAATAAAATATATCTATGTATAAGTGTATATAGTTAAAAATTGCGTCGACGTCTTCAGAGGCCAAAAAGGAAGGCGTTCTTGGAAACTTGGAAGTGATCTTTCCGACGCCATTTCGTTTGGATACATTACTTCTAGGAATAGTCAATGACGAGTTCTAGGGCCCCTCAATTGAATGTGCTGCGGGCCCCGCGCTTAGTTAGTCCACCCCTGTCCTCCGTCATCTGTGTAGCAAGTGCGATATGCATAACATTGATAAGCCAGTCAAAATATTTTAAAGAATAACTGTATACAGTTGCTTATATTGAAGCCGTGTCGGACAATGACGACTGATACTAGTGGAGGATTAGCCTTTTAACAGCTTTTCGTCAGCAGTTAAGGGCTTAACTGCGTAAATCCAGTCGAATCAAACAATAAATACGTTTTATTGTAAGACTAGACTATTCAAGCTCTTGCGATGTGTATAATAACTGTGATGTAATTCAATGCTGCTTCTACTATTTGCTATCAGCTATGCGACTTCCAAGTGCCTGTAACTGAATGTGCTATGCTCGTATCTAAATGTAACTAATTTTCCTGTCCGTCAACAAAGAACGTCGGCGACGATAGCAGGGACAGGGACGTCAGTCCAAAACATGTCCTGGAGTCCTAACTCAAGTTCATCAGCGTTGTTAATATCCATAAGTTTTGATATTTACGCACATTTATTTTATTGATTTAAAGTATAAAAAGTGGCAAATAAGCACAGGCATATTTCTTTTACAGAAGTGACAGTAGCAGTCAGTACTGGATGGGAGCAGTGCGAGACCCACAGGACCCTGCCAACTGGAAGTGGGTGAACGGAAATGACGTCACAGTATCCTTCTGGAACGCTCCTGGCGGTGGTGAGGGATGTGCCCGCTTCGACGGCAGCAAGGGCTGGCTCTGGGCTGACACCGAATGCCAAGCGAGATTGAACTACATCTGCCAACACCGTAAGTCTATTATGCTTCTGCAACTTTAACGTACTTGTTACGTTTGAGTTTTGTATGTAGGCTTTGAAGACGAACGGGCCATACCCAAATTTTGTAAATGTAACATTTGTCTTTGCGATTGCGAATTGTCCTATTATTTAGTGTATGATCCACCTGGTCGAGGGGGCTGCATTCAACCTTTTTAAAACCGCCCTCAAATACTGTCCACTGCTCTGCTATGGTTACATTTTTAGCCCATGCTGTTTTGATACTTGCGAATATGTTTTATTATTGTTTATTTTGTATTGATTGATTGATACTATTTTAAGACTAATATTAAATTCAATGTTTTTTCGGTTCTCAATCCTGGTGTTAAGTAGGAAAGAGAGAACTTAAAAAATTAACGTTATCTTTTTAACGTAATAAATTATTTTTCTTTCCTTCGTTTTAGTTCTTCTAACAGAAAATTCTAGTAAGGTTATAGAATTAAATACTATTTAAGACACCATTACCAATTTTGTAAGGACCCTTTAAATGGAGGACTCATTTCATTCCATCTGTACATTGGCATCTTCACTTGACTCATAGTTCCCAATTTCGTTGTCTCCAGAACCGAAAGCTTGTGGTCGTCCTGAACAGCCTCCGAACTCCACGATGTCGGCTGATAGCTTCGAAGTGGGTGCTTCTGTGGAGTACTCGTGTGATGACGGACATCTCCTCGTGGGGCCCACAGTCAGGACATGCCTGGACACTGGTTTTTATGACGAATTTCCACCAGTTTGCAAACGTAAGTGAAATATGCAGTTCTTATAATTTATGGTGTGATATGAGATGTGAATGAAACTCATTCAGGTTAAGAATAGGTACTCGTACTCGTAATACCAAAACAGTTGAGTAACCTTGACTAGATGATTACAAGTCTAAAACTTCAATTTATGAGGCAATCACAAGTTTACATTTTTAATTGAATTGAAAAATAGGAAATTACTTTTGCGCCGAGTAACCACAAACTAACTTAATCTCATGTTACTAGTACCTACCTACAAAGAAATCTTAAAACTCATGTAATAATACCCGATAAGTATCACACACGACCATATTATTTAGTCATCGTTGGAGTGAACTTTATTATCCAATTACCCCCTTCCCCAATCTCCCCATGAGTCCCCGAATCTCCTACAATCCTCAAAATCCAAATCCCCAAAAAGCCGGTAATGCATAAGTAACACCTCTGGTGTTTCGGATGTCCATTGGGGGCGCCGATTGCTTGCCAACAGGTGATCCGTCTGCTCGATCACAGGTTCATTCCAGAAAATAAAATTGTCAACGAGCAAAGGCTCAAGGTCCTAATGATAATTATATTGGTCGTAACGATTATGAAATAATAAAATTCATCATATCGCAGGTATCGAGTGCGGCTTTCCAGCGGAGATCCCGCACGGATCGTACGAGCTGATCAATGGGTCCATATCGTACCTATCGCATGTTCAGTATGACTGCGAGCCTGGCTACGAGATGGTGGGCAGGTCCAGGCTTGTTTGTGACATCGATGAAAGGTGGAACGGTCCACCGCCCAGATGTGACGGTTAGCCTTAATTTATTTTATTCTATTTAATAGTTCACAGCGACCTCTATTGAACGCAATTGTGAAGTGATACTGTTTATAGAGACTGGAACCCAAACTAACAATAAAATGTTTATCATTGTCGAATGTGTATGGGTTCATAAAGTACCTGAAATGTAGAATCGACTATATTGAATTGAGTTCCATGTGACAGAAGGAAAATCTGTCGCCAATAACTATCCTGCTCTGCAATTCTGCAATTCTGCACTCGGCGCTACTACTAACAATTGAGATTTCAAAGATTTCAAAAATGTAAAACCCAATAATGCTTACTTGAACCACATGGCAACAACTAATCCTGCACGCCCTGCACGGGTTCCGCAAAATGGTACTATATAAAAAAAATATTTGTTTAAATGGCTTTTCCAGTGGTCCAGTGCGAGGATCCGCCTCAAATCGCCAACGGTCGTGTGTACATCAGCCACAACACCTCAGTGTTCGGCTCAGTGGCTGAGTACTCGTGTGGTAGAGGGTTCAAGTTGGTTGGAACCAAGCGTATCTCCTGTCTAGCCACCGGCCTCTGGGACAAACCAGCGCCTAACTGCCAATGTAAGTTGCTGAAAAATATTTTAATTTTATGGAACAATCAATCACATGTCTGTCTCCATCTACTGTATGTTCTATAAATGAGGTCAGATGCATCATATGAACGGCATAATAAATGTAAAATCAGAAGAAAGAAAAGTGGGTAACATTCCTGTCCTACTTACTACGATCTTAACTTTGTGGTTTACCTAGTTAGATGTTAAAAATGTGTTTCCAGTGGAAGAACGTCCAACAACGACTCCAGTGCCGACGAGTACGGCACCTGTCACCACTACTACGGCTCCACCTCCTCCTACTCCCACCAGTCCTCGCATTGTCCTCCCGACGAGACCGCGGACTTCCCCGCGCCCATTGTCCTCCCCTACACCATTTGCCACCGTAACTTCGGAGCCACCACGGAGACTCCGCCCCAAACCGACCACAGACCGACCCACCACAAGGACTTACGAACGGCCTCCAGAAAGGAAGACCACTGTACCTGATAATCAAGACTCTCCAACAAGTCACATACCCCACATCATTGTGGCGAGCCATCCTAGAGAAAACCAGGTAAGTCAGACGTTTTCACTACTTAATCATAGGTATTTCAAAGTTGTCTATTGGTAATTTTGTACAATCGTACAGAATTTTCTGTGTGGGAGAGCCATGCTTCGGCACGAATGGCCCGACTCGACCGGAGTGATACCACGGCCTCACAGAAAACCGACGTGAAGCAACGCTTGCGTTGTGTTTCGTCGTGTGAGTGAGGTTACCGGGGGCCCAATTAACCTCCCCTTCCCCAATCTCCCCAATCCCTGAATCCCCAACGATCCTCAAACTCCTAATCCCCAAAATGCCGGTAACGCACTTGTAACGCCTCTGGTGTTCCAAGTGTCCATGGGCGTGCTCGTTTACCGGCTTATGCCATAAATAAATAAAAAAATAAAAAAATTGAGAAGACCCTACCCATTCACATCCCACAGCTACTGTAGCTGCATTAAACCTTAAACCTTCAGATCGTGGGTAGCGGTAACAACATCAGAGCCGAGCAGACACCGCGTGTCAACGTGCCTCAGCCGGTAGATGGCGAGCGTCGCGACCCAGTGGGCGCTAGGCTAAACATTGGCGCTGTTGTCGCACTTGGCGCCTTCGGAGCGCTCGTCTTCCTCATAGCCATCATCACCACCATCGTGATCCTCGTCCGGAGGTAAGAACAACAAGACCCATGTATTTAGATGACGTAGAGGTGGACGAGAAAGCTTCAGAATGTTAGCTCGGTTTGGTCCCTGTTATATAACAGTAGTACTAGTATTAATAGTAAAGTTCATTTTTGTATTGAATAACATGATGCAGACCCAGTCAGGTAGTACCTTAACATTAGGTAAATTATCAAAAATCTGTAATACTAATTACATTAGGTGTTCTGCTCGAGGTAAGTAAAGGACACCAACCACCAGACACTATTACTGGACCACAGGAATGTTTCATCACAGATTCAGATTAATTAATCATTTAGGACACACCTGAAAAATCCGTTAACCTAACGTCTTGTGCATTGAATTTTGAAGGAAAACAAAACCAATCCTTCCACCCCAGACAAAATCAGAACCCCACAATCAAATGAAACGTATATTATAACAAGTAACCAAGACCTCCTTCACAATTGAAGTTAATTCCTGTGTGATTGTACTGAGAAAGGCATGCGATTAGCAGTACCTGTAGTACTGGTATGTAGGTGCATCACGCTTACAGTAGGTCACACCCTCGCCCATCGTCGAGCGAGCAAAAGCTGCAGGTTAAAGCGACACACTACATAAGTGATTGGTACACCAGCGGAGGGCCAAAGCGGCCACCGCCGGCCGTCCGCGAGCTCCCTTCCCGGTGGTACACGCTCTTGGCCCTCCCGTTCCCCGACCAGCAAGTCGGCAGGCGCGAGTTCGCCCGAACTCATCGCCACACGCATCGTGCCGGACACTTCTCCAACCCTTTATAGCCAGTGCGTTTGTTTAAGGTACTACGTTGACATCGTGGTTGACCACCCGCGGCTACTCTATCACTTGTGTTCTAATTTAAAAATAATTATATTAACAACAGTGGTTCATTGCATCTCAATATTATGTCTGTTGTGATAACCAACCACCATGTCATCGCTACACGCACAGGGATTCGGATAGCACGCGCCTTTGAAATCACTTCGAGAGAATTAGTTTCGTCTATCACACTGCCATCACCGTGTACTTCGTGTTAGAACAACCAGTTCACAGCTTTACACCTAGTCAGAGGAACCTTGAAACTCAGGGATTTACTCTCCCCAAACATTGCTTATGAAACTCACACCTCTCACTGTTCCGGCGCTGAACCGTCACGCACTCAGCTGCTTGACGCCAACCGACACGACTTACTGTATCTCACACACAAACCACACCCAGCACCACCATGTAAATACTCAACAGCAACTGTGTTTTCTAGGCTAAACATATGGTGTAAACTGTCGATGTATTTTAATTTTCTGAATTACTTATTCTTACAAACCATTTTTAAAGTGATATGGAATAGAAATCGTTAACTGAAACTGCATAAAAGTCGCATTCTATTTCCTCTATAACTTAAAACAATGTATTGTATACTAATAAAATGCAATGATTAGCAGGAAGCAGAACGATTGCAAGCGGTACAGACACCACGTGTCGCCTGACTGCAACACGGTGGGCTCGCTGGACTCGTCGTCGTCGGAATCGCGGAGCGGGCTTAACCGGTACTACCGACAGGCGTGGGAAGAACTACACGAGGCGGCCGGGGCCAAGCACGCGCACCGCCGCCATGAGCGCGAGGCGCCCAAGGACGGCTCCGAGCTGGTGGTGTCGGACGTATACCCGGCGCACCACGCGCGCGACAAGCGCCGCCACCATCACCACCATCACCATCGCGAGCCCCGCCACCCCGACTGGCACTCCCCGCACCGCCCGCCCCACAACCATAAACCTAGATACTAAACAAGACTGCCTAATCGTCTCACTATTTATTTGACGTTGAAACTTGTGACAAGGCTCGGTAAAGTGTGTAACGTCCCGCAATAATGCAAGATTTACAACAATTTTGTAAAACTTACATTATTTACAATAGACGACTGCACAATATCGTTGTTCTGTAAATTGTCGCTCGACGGTTTCCAAAGATAGCTGGGAAATGTAATAAAACAAAAATTAGACAATTTCGTACTCTGTCCAGTAGCCAGGTACTATTGAATTATTTATTTGATGAAGAGTGGAATTTATTTAGAGCTAAGTGTAGGCAGTCTCGACGTTAACAGAATGTACCAAATAACATTGCTTGTAACCACTTTTAAATATTATTCATGTATAGAGACATATTTATAATCGTAAAGCTAGATTCGTACTTAAAGTTGATAAAATTATTATGTAGGTAGTTGTTACACTAGCCCCAAATGACATCAAAATGTGAGCAATTGATGTCCGACGTTACGATGCGAAAATATCACGTTTGTCAGTTTAGCTGAGCAGATTATAGAACCGAAGGAGGCTAGTTTAAGGACTGAGCATTGGCAAGATGCCCTTCCTAGATAATTCCGCGAGTATGAAGCCGCGGGTGGGCGCCAGTAGAATATAAATACACACTAGTACATAATATTCTACTTATCGTATATCTTTCCTGCTTGGACTATGATTACCTTGATCTTTTCTTAATATTATCATAAATATTGTATAATTTCATATTTCAATTCATTACCTAGTTAGTAAGCAATATAAAGATTTGTACATAATTATATTAGTTAGGTATATAGGTGTCCATGTAAGATTAGATTGAAGTTAATCATTGTTAGCTGCTGTAATTTCCCTCTGTTTTATTTCATTGTTTTGTTAGTTTAAATTATGTTAGTTAAGTAGCTTGTACGAATCTGTGAGTATCAGTGTATTAGTACGAACAATGTTTATTTTGATTGATATTGTATTGTGGCGTCTTTGGACCAAGAGTTTATTTTCAAGTGTGAAACTATGCTCATCCCAATACAAAATCTACTATGTATGGTACAAAGTAATATTAAAATTACGACAATGCTAATATGTCGAGTACAAGTCGTCATCGGCGCGTGCTTACAACGAAAGGAGTAATCTAATGTGCCATTACAGAGGCAGACATAGGTAGGAAGTTCACAAGTTGGATATTATAATAATAATGTTAATTAAACAATGTAATTAGTTTATATAAACATGTATGTAAATATTATTTAACACAAACGTTTATATTATTGCTCAATACATCGAATTTTGTAACGAAACCGACTGATCGGAGAAACAAACGTCCAGTCTTGTGGCGCTGTAGTCGTTTTTGGTCATCTGCACTATAAAATCTCATATAGGTAAAATAGTTCTCTCAAAATCCGCAACATGACTGCGTTTTTCATATATATCTGATTGGGTTACATGGTACTTTCAGACTGATTGGAAAATTATTGAATTTATGAATGAAAAGATAATTTATTCTAGTACGTTTGTATTCGTGTAATTGTTTAATATTGAAGTAAGACAGTAACAGTGTTGACTATGGCTCCCGTACGATATTTCGTACGTTGCCAGTCGACTGAGTATATTATTAATGTTTAACTAGGAATGTATTAGCATTGTTTACTGCAAATTTAAACGAAATTGTAATAAATCCGAATCATACTAGTATTAAACTTTGTGATAACTGAATTGAATTTGTTTCATTTTCAGCTTCCCTCAGTATTTTCCAACCTGTGTTACTCTTAGAAATGAGGATAAACATTTGACAAATCATGAGGATGATATTATTTAAGTAGAATAAGGGTCTTCCTTCGTACTTCGTAGGAAACTAACAACAATTTTAATCGAGCAAATAGCTTTATTAACGTTGAAATACTCAAAGTCGTTGTAACATGCAGAAGTTTAACTTAAATTGGAGTAGCATTTCAGTAATGCTACTCCAATTATGTTAAACTTAAATATCGTGCAATCTCTGTAATTTTACCTTAACCTCTCGTCTGTTGAAAGTTGCGGGTATAATGTGTTTTATACCGGGAGTCGGTGTTTCAACAGATAAAATGTTAAAGAATGTATAATTACAAAACTATACTTGAGAGTTTCTTAAAATTAAGTGGCGTTACAAGTATTCGACAAGTATTTGCAGTTGCAATGCCGGTAGTTACCGGGCAAGGGGTCTCGGGTTCGATTCCCGGGTCGGGCAAAGTATTACTGGGTTTTGAAAAATCCTCAGTAGTAGCACGTAGTCTGGAATTGTGCCCGATATATGGCAATAGGCTCACCCCCTATAACATGGGACTCATAAAATAAATAGTGAAAAGCGGGTGTTACATTGTAATGTGCACCTCTGCCTACCCCTTCGGGGATAAAAGGCGTGATGTTATATATGCATTAAAATTTAGAGTTTGAAATTAAAGACATGCGTATATATTATTTCTTTATTAGTTTCTGAAATTAACTACGCATACAAAAAGAGGTACATTGCTTTGTGTTCAATCCTTGCTCGGATACAATCTCAACTTCAACATAGATCTAACTGGTGTAACGCTATAACTAAACAATTTCCAAGGCAACGGCTATTGCTATAATTTATTTAACTTACGACACAATAAAACTTTTCAACTTTATATCTTATTATTATATGTTTACGGTCGATAATTGTAACCAATCACAATTCAAAATCGGCCCATTGAGATAGAGTTTCGATCGAGATTTTGTTTTGATATTGGTTTTTAATTTCGGCCAAGAGAAAGCCTAGATAGGTTTATTTTCATTTAATAGGGTATCAAGTCAGCCATCTTAAAAAACAAAGCACATTAATGACGTCACTTAGTGAGTCTTCGCATCACTAGACGCGCTAGTAAGACGTTCAATCTCTTAATTCAATACTAATGGATATAAAAACCATTTTACATACTTCCGCAATGGACCAATCAGACTTTACGTCTCTCTAACGCCATCTAGTGAACACAAAACGAAAACTCCTAATTGAATTTTTAACACGTACATGCATTGAAAGTGCGTCAACCATAATAATGCAAATTAAAGCTTAAAATATTACCAACATAAAATGCTGGGACTAAACTAAAACAATAATTACAATTTCTTAATAACGAACAGCTTACATTTGTCACATAAAAGTAAAAAGAAAGAATGCCATCCTTTTCTCTCGTATGAATATTATAAAGAGAGATAAAGACAGCTGTATATTAAATAATTCGGTAAACATTGATTGTGTTGCATAACAGTACAGAGAAATGTCGTCGATTGCATTTTAAACTTTACATAGATAATTCGAGACAAAAATATATGTATACAATGATGAATCAGCCAAAGCGAGTACTACAATACAATTCATCTCGAACTTTATACATGTGAGCTTAAGGTTCTATTTACAAATTCTCCAATCGAATTTTAGTACGTTTTAGAGATCAGCGAAAGGCGACACAATAACCACGCTACGTACAAGCTTATCATACAATATCGAATCAAACAAAATTCGACCTTATAGAATGCAATTTAAAGTCGTAAATTCCACAACCAATTCACAATGTTCGTTTGAACGTATATTTTATTGGCTTTTACACAATATATAATTACTTTGTTTAAAAAATATATATTTCTTTGCATATCGGAGGCACTGCGAGTGAGAATATCAAGCAAAATGTTCATATTTGTACATAATTATTGCAAAATGCAATATTTAATGAAGAAAACATTGCATTTTTATAAGAGAAGTTACCGTGTGTAGATTATTATGTGTATTGCATTTATGTGATTGCTATTGTCTACTTTTATAATTACATTTAGACTTATTAACTGGTATATTACACTTGAGAGCAAAAGAACGGATCCACTAGCTAGCGTATTTATCTTTTTCATTTCTTGATGAATATTTTCTGACACAAGTGTTTTATTAATTAGTAATGTAAGTCGTTTAAAAGTCAATTCAGGTACCTTTACTATAAGAGCTTGTTTATGTACCGAATTAGAATACTTTTTTAGGTTATACGGGGTTTGTTAAAATGAAAAATGAACGCTTGTGGTGCGATTTCTTTGCTGGCATGTGCATGTAACTACATATAAAATACATCGTCTCTTAGTCCTTTAAACTATATGTACCGTGTTCTATTTCAAATTGGTGTACCAGCATTGAGTGGAACGAAATTGACATCTAATGCAAAAGCATAAATCTCAAAATACTTTAACAAATTGGTGTAAAGATTAAAATAGTTTCAAAGATACAAAAAACGTAATAAAATAATGAAATAAAGACAAAATATATAAAAACAATAATAGAAAAAGGCACCAAAGAAGGATTACAAAATATTTCATTATTATGAAAACATATAACAGTTCAGTCACGCGATTAATACATTATTAACTACAATACTATTATCAAGTTTCAAAAGAACTATTAGCAGTTGGAATAATAGTAGATTTTTATGAAGAAGACACCTATAGTAAGTCAGTAGACTGTCATCAACTGTTGATGGATGAGGAGAGACTTTGATCGAGGAATTTTTAGTATTTCTTGGATTGATTGTAGTTACAAGTCTAGAAAACATATGGCTAGGACTTAGTTTCGCCAAATTATATGGAAATAATAACCTTTATAGAGCTACGATCGGTAACAAATGACAAACAAAATGTACTACCTAACCTTCTGCGTTGTTTGAAGTTGGTTAAAAATGACTGATGTCTTCTTGTCGACTATTGCCGAGTATATTAGTCCAATTTTTTGTTTGTCATCCATAACTGAAAAGATTAGTAGTGTAATTGACTTCTACGGTCGAAGTAATTAGATTTAAGGAGCGAGATGCCAGCATGGCTGACTACCTTTATTGAAGGGGACCTTTGTCGACCAGTAGAAGCCCACGGTACGTGTACTGTTACTAACCATATATTTAATTTTAAATAGAATTCAGAATTAATCACGCGACTGAACAATGACTGTATGAATCGTGCATTCGTTTTCTATAAAGTACTATGTTGTTTTGTACTTCATAATATAAGGCCGCTATTAACGAGGAACGAATTATCTGATAAAACAAGCTATTAGCACTGGAAGTTAGAAACTTCATTAAAAGATTATCAACTTTATTGCAAAAGGTTTAGTTTGAAAATCTGTTACAGAAATTCTCGCCTTAGATACCAAATTCGGTTGGTGTCAGGTGTACTAGTTTGGATTACTAACTATTAACGTTATTAGAACGCTATAAAGCTGATAATCTATTAAAGAAATTGTGATTATCTTAATGTGGCATCTATACTTTCAATATAAAAATTTAAGGCCGAAAATACAAAAAAGAAAATATACATAATTTAGGAAGACTATCATTAACTAGTAGGTAAAAAAATATGTTCAATCTATTTATCATACATAGCGAATGGAACCTTTGCGGTTGTTCATTCAATTATCAACTCTATAACAATATTTATAAGAATAGTAATTATGTTTGTTGTGATGCACCTAAAGTGGCATTTGGCAGTGAAGCGCCACTGTCCGAAAGCTCATCATAAACACATTAGTTATATAAAAATATACATATTATTATATAATATATATTAAGTTGAAAACTCGCTACTTCTTATACTAAGTTTATTTGTTTAGGTTAACCGAACTTGTGTGGAGAAATACGTTTCAAATTAACTTTGTAATTGGTGAATGATTAATAGAAGGTCGATCATGATTTGATTGTAGTATATAACTGTTGTATTCAAATATATATTTGAATTTGTTTTATAACCTTCTGTATTCTTCAGCACTAGGATTACTGTCGTACCTTTGGTGCATTAATATCTACATACATACCCGAAACCACGCTATACAGATCACACAATGAATTGCTCTTTGGCACTTCAGTTAAAACGTGAATTTCAATGTACGTCACAATTTTAAGTCGTACAGTAATTCTCAACTTATTTCTTCACACAAGGGAACAGACTGGAACTTGGTAGGTTCTGTTCCAACAGTGCTAGAATATGTTCACAGTATACCCATACCACAGTGAATAGTAACAACATTTAAACGTATGCTTAGAATATTAACTTATGGTCGCTGATTTGATCAATTTTTGTTTCATCTTAAATATAATAGCTAAAGCAATGTATAGTGTTGCAATAAACTTTGTTTCATATCATATATCATGTAT